TGTGCCACCGCAGTCCCAGCCCAGGAATGCGGAATTTCCTTTTTTAAAATTTGTGGTAATTTTAAACGAAAAATATGCCGCCACCAAAAGACCAAATTTGCTACTGCGCAACGATGAAATTCATTTTCGCAGCCGTAAATACTATATTTCAGCGGATGATCGAAGATACTTGTGAGTACTGTGAAATGCTCATCAGCGCGGTGCGCTCTCGGATACCAAACGCCTCGTATCATCCAGCTGCAATGACCCGAACAATTCCTCATCACTGTCTTCTGAAGCAACGCCCTGTTCCGCAGCAAGTTGCTTCGATGACAAAACATCATATCTTCGAATTCGTGGGCCATTATTGTGCCTGCAACGAGGACTACAATCTTCGAGGTGAACTGTATTCTTCAGAACGAACTATCCCCATCAAGAGAGGCAATTATTGCTACTTATCAGCGATGGCCCACCAGTAAAGAACTTATAGAATGAAAGAATTTTAACGAACAGTGAATTGAGATGTCAACAACTAATGAGTTAAATTATCAATGAGTACTGACTTGCAATATCAGTGAAGATTAAGTCATGAGATAAATGAGTACCCGGCGGACAACTGGGTGTGGAGATACCATGTTAGTGATGTTACTGGAATGCTCTCAATACGCCTGGCGCGTCTATACTATTCCTTCCGATCCTGAGTTGCGTATCTCCAGTTAGTATTTATCAATCGCTTGTTCGATGTTGATCAACAGTAAAAATTTTTTATCGCTAAAATGCTTTCTGCCATTCTTTGCTTTTAACAACTGTGTAATGCACCTGCAATGATAAATTTATAAGGGAAAGAAATACCTCAGAAATCGGATCACTATCCATGCACCAATGATCACAATCAGAAGGCTTATCACCAACAGCGCCCTGCAACGAAAACAAATCAGTTGTAAGAACTCGGCAAGAACTGCACTTTGCCGCCCTCATCTCTAGCCATTCGGTGAGCTTCAAAAAATTTAACTTAGAAATTGCTTGGAAACGTAGAAGTGTCATGCAGAATGGGTAGACACCTGTAAAGTGCCATGCTATCCATGTCGAAGGCTCCTTGCTTATGAAGTGCTGTTGTTGCGCTGATCGCAGCGCTCGTCGTCGCCACTGTCGTTGACCAGAGGCCCATAGTGTGAGAAATGGCAATCCAGGGACAATTCAGGCTAAACGTCACTTCTCTTTAATCGAGCACTATCAGCGAACACGGCAGCAGCAATTCGCAAATTTTTGGAGTGCCAAGTAAGGGTGGTTGCTGGCGTGCACGCATTATAGCGTGTAAAAACGTACCTGCCCACGATGCATCCCTGAAAAAAATCATTAGTTAGCACATCGACAGCC